AAATGGCTGGAGCCCAAAGTGTTGGGTGAGGAGAGAATTGTCTGAGATGGAGGGGAATGGGAGGGAGAAGAGGGGGTGAGGTCAGATCTATTGTAGTCTTATGGGCCATGGTAGGGCTGTAATCTAGGAGTGATGGGTGCTGCTGGCACTCTTGGTGGTGGTACCTGTTTACTCTGTAGGCTAGAATGCCCAGGGATATATGTTTGTACATCACAAGGAGAGACATTAGCACTGTGGTCCCCGACTCCCAGGCCATGTGTGCCCTGTTAGAAATTGGGCCACTACTGTAAACTGTGCGTGCCAAGGATCCAGGTTGCATGCTCCTTATGAGAATCTAATGCTTCCCCACCTCTCCCTTGTGAAAAAATTGTCTTCCATGAAACCAGTCCTTGGTGCCAAAAAGATTGGAGATCGCTGCATTAGCAGAAGCTTAGTTAGGAGGCTGGTTGAGACTGTCCGGGCAAGAAGTGGTGGTGGTTTAGACTGGAAGGAACAGTGGGCTAGGGTAGGGGATGGGGGAACACAGATGGATTTGATTATTAGGAATGAAATCAAGAGGATGTTTTGGTGTGCAAAATGGCATCTTTTCATGCTTAACACAATAACTGGGCTTAGCTGATGCTATTGAATGATGTTGATAAGGTAAATAAATGAATGAGAGGCATGTGCCCAGTACCTAAAGGGGAAGTTGCAGGGTCAAATTTTGGGTTTTATGGGCCAGAGGGACTTTCACCTTTGTGGATCCTTTTTTCCAATAGAAAGTTAAAAAAAATTAAAAACGGCATTGCTATAGCTTCTGTGAGGAACCTAGAATAGTCCCCGTGATAGACACAGAAAGTGGAATGGTGCTTTCTAGGGGCTGGAGGGAAGAAGGAAGGAGAGGTTATGGTCTAATGTGTATAGAGTTTCCATTCTGTAAAAGTTTTAAGATTTCTGGAGATGAATGGTGGGGACGGTCACACAACAATGTGAATGTTCTTAATCCTGCTGCACTGTGCAGTAAAAATGGCTAAAAGGGTAAATTTTAAGTGTATTTTACCACAATAAAAAAATTGAAAGAAAACCTGCATTGGTATAAAGATGAATATAATCCAGACTGGATTTTTAATTTTAATGATTTTAATATTTACGGTAGAATTACATAAAATAATATAGAATGTATAGTTATTCTAGTTATATTTTTCTTCTAATTTTAGAAGAGATAACAATGAGAGCACTTTGGAAGGCTCCTTTATTTGGTGTCTACTGTGCCCAATGCAGAAGTTGGCCCTGGGAAGCTGCCAGTGGGCAGACAATGCATTTCAAACATTGGACTCACCTAGCAAGCTGAGCAAAGATGCAGACTCATATCCTGACCCCTGAGATGCAGTCTGTGTAGGTCTGGGGCATGGCCCTGGAATCTGCATCATGTGGGTGTTCTCATGCAGATAGTACCTGGACTGTCCTTTGGGGACATGGGAGGACTTTCGTGGAGGAGGAGACATCCCCACACTTTTTGAAGTCCAGAGTTGGCCCCTTACTTTATGGGTGGCATTTACAAATCTTGCCACAGCTCCATGCCTATTCATCTCTAAGGTAGGAATGATGGCACTTAACTTTATGGTGTCATCCAAGAGGCTCACTGGGTGGCCAGGATTCACAACTGGGGCAGCCACTGAAATCTCAGCTCTGAGGCAACTGGTGTGAGGGGAATTGTGCAAATGCTATTCAACATTGCATGAGGAGGTGACAAACCAGAGCTGTGTCAGCAAGGATGAAGGTGGCAGAGTGCAAAGCCCTGGGCAAGGCATTGCTAGCAAAAGGAATATTTGCATTTCTGTGCAAGGTTTCTGGGCATTAGGATGGGCGAAGGTGCAAGCAAAGGAACACCCAGCCCCAGGAAGAATTTTTGAGGGACTCAAAATTTCTCAGGGAGAGAGGAGGTCGGGCATTTATTCCCCAGCATCCACACTGCAGCACTGCAGAGCTGGCTGCTTCCATCTGCTAAGAGCTCTTTTCCTTTTTACCCTTCAGAACCACAGGTTGTAAAGGCTCCCATAGTTATCAGCACCTTAGTGCTGCATTACTCATGGAGGTTTCTTTACTCTCTGCCCAACCTTTGTAAATACAGTCTATTCCTGTTATTTACAGGAGTTACATTTTATGTGGATAAAGTCACCACAAACACTGGATCAGTGAATACTGGAACCATGGCTCCCAAGGAAATTCAGGGTTAGGTTCCTAGAACCTCTGTTCACAACACTTTTGTTAACTGATCAAGCCATAACCTTGTTTTATGCATTCCTATTGAAAGACATCTTATTAATATTTAATATATATGGTGGACTCATTCATGGTCAGCAGCACTGTAACTCAAGCCTGAATGAGACTTAGCTAATACACAAGTATTTTCTCCCCAAGGCACAATATAGTCTTCTAGTGCTCAGGGCACTACCCCTGCGGGTCATTTTTTTTTTTTTTAGGCTGAATTTCACTTTCCAAAGAGTGCTGTGGCATCACAGCTCACAGCAACCTCAAACTCTTGGGCTTAAGCAATTCTCTTGCCTTAGCCTCCCAAATAGCTGGGACTACAGGTGCCCACTATGACGCCTGGCTATTTTTTGTTTCAGTTGTCATTGTTGTTTAGCTGGCCCGGGCTGAATTCAAACCCGCCTGCCTCCGTGCATGTGGCTGGCGCCCTAACCACTGAGCTACAGGCGCTGAGCCAGTGGTAGCCATCTTAAACAACGAAATCACCAACAAACAGCACACAAATGCAAAAACTAAAAAAGAGGCACTAAACAGATTGCAATAAGGAGGCTTGTTTACTGTAAGATCTGAAAGGAGAAGGCAGTGTTGCCTTTGACCTCAGCTGCAGGAATGTACACATCAGGTGGCTGAAGGTTTTCACTACTCTGTGCATACCTGCAAGTGACCGTGAAAGCGCCATGAGTATTGATTTCGAAGTTACCAATAAATTTTAGTAAATGAATCAGCAAATATGGAACCCTTGAATAATGAGGCTCGACTGTGGTCTCTTTACAATTGAGTGTGTTGTCAGCCTTCTGTTGGTGTCCTAATTGGTATAGGGAGTGTCTGAAAAAGGATGATTTGTTTTCTTCTATAGCTGTGGCCCTTAAGCTATAGGGTCCCTTGTAAGATAAGGGAGTTGGCTGTGATGCCCAACAGTTGAGTCAGTTACAGTTGGCTGTGATGCCCAACAGTTGAGTCAGTTACAGTATGAATTCCTCCCAGCTCTGTAATACAGGGCAGATGGCCATCTCTCTCCTCCCCTCAACCCCTGCACTACTCTGTTCAATGGGCACAATTTACTCCATTTCCAGTTGATTGTTATGGGGACCTATGAAGATTGGTCCCTGCTTGCAGTATAAAGCAAGAGAGATTTATTTATTTATTTATTTATTTATTTTTGAGACAAACTCTTGCTCTGCTGCCTGGGGTAGAGGGAAGTGGCATCATTGTAGCTCACTGCAGCCTCAAACTCTTAGGTTCAGGTGATCCTTCTGCAACAGCCTTCCAAGTAACTGGGCCTACAGGTATGTGCCAAAACACCAGGCTAATTTTTCTATTTTTAGTAGAGATGGGGAGAGGGGTCTCACTCTTGCTCAGACTAGTCTCGAACTCCTGACCTCAAGCAATCCTCTTGCCTTCGCCTCCCAGAGTGCTAGGATTATAGGTGTGAGTCACTGTGGCTCGGCCTGCAAGAGAGATTTAAATCCTGCTTTACCCTTTGCTGACTGTGTAACCCTGGGAAAACGAGTTTACCTTTCTGAACTTCATTTCCTTTTCTGTAAAATGTTGGCACTTGTACCCCTGTGACTGGCTGGCTTTGCCATAAAAACAAAAGCAAAACCCCAAATAGCCCAACCAATATTCTTGGCATATGCATGGGCAGCCAACTCCACAAGGGAAGGACACATCCTTGCCGCATTCCTGGCACCTAACAGAGCTTCTGGCATATAGCAGTTGCTTAGGAGATATTTATGGCTATAATGAACACCCCTTTTCTCTCTATATGTCACACCCTGAGATCTCCCTGGGAACAGCGAATAATAATCACAGTATGAGGAGTTCTGTGTTGGCAGGGTGTCTAAGAAGCTATGGGAATACAGAGGAAGAACTGAGCTAAGAGTGGATAGGTGGATGCAGGTAGGACAGGCTTCCTGTGGGAGACCATGCCAGAGCTGCACCCCACCCCTCAAATGGTGTTGGCTGCCCTGGATCAAGTTGTGAGCTTTCTGAGGGCAGGGACCACATCAGCCCCGCTTACTGCTGTATTCTTAGCATTTGGCTTAGAACTTGGCACTGTGTTGGGTGAGGACAGAGCAGAGCTCTATAGGCTCTAGGCAGTGGTTCTCAACCTTCCTAATGCTGCAACCCTTTAATACAGTTCCTGTGGGTCGGTTGAGAACCAGTGCTTTAGAGTTAGGGATGAAAACTCCAGCTTTGCTACCTAGTAACTATGTGACCCTGGGCAAGCGCAGCGACCTCTCTGCCTCAGCTGTAAAATGGAGATGCTAACCATAAGAGCTCATGCGCGTGCACTGAGGATCTATTCTTTGTAGCCACCTTACACGTATGAAGTCAACTATCCCATTGCTACCACCGTTTAAGATGGGTGCTTTAATGCTCCTCATTTTACAGGTGGGAGGCCAGCTAGGGACAGTGACTTGCCCAAAGCTGCACAACTTGAAATTGGGCAGCCAGGATTTGTATCCCAGCAATCTGGTGACCAAATCCATCTTGTTAACTTCCAGGCTACACTGCCTATAACATGTAGGGTAAGTGATTACCATCCAGTAAGTGCCTAATGAAGAATAGTTATTATTTTTAATAATGATTCTGTTAGAGGGCAATTAGAGAGAGAGTGAGTGGGGGACGGAGAGAAGGCTACTGGACTGTGAGACCACCCCCCCCCC